TTATTATCAATGTGTTCTGTATGTTTGATGTATATATTTGGGTTTCCTCCACGTTTGGAACATCTGTGTTTACAATTATTAGATTTTCTTTATGGATAGACCCCTTAGTTATGATATAATGCCCATCTTCATCTCTTGTTACAGTCTTTGTTTTAAAATCTAGATTATCTGATAGAAGTATGGCTACTCCAGCTTTTTTTTGTTGACCATTAGCATGATAGATGGTTCTCCATCCTCTTACTTTCAATCTGAAGGTGTCTTTAGATCTAAAATGGGTCTCTTGTAAACAGTATATAGGTGGATCTTGTTTTCTTATCTATGTCTTTTGATTGGAGCGCTTAGTCCATTGACATTTAGAGGGAATAGTGAAAGATATGAATTTATTGCCATTATGTTGCCTGTACAGTTGGAGTTTCTGGTGATGTCTCTGGTCCTTTCTAGTCTTTGTTGCTTTTGATCTTTTTTTTTGGTCTTTTCTCCCCTCAGAGAGTCCCCCTTAAAATTTCTTGCATGACTGGTTTAATGGCCACAAACTCCTTTAGTTTTTGTTTGTCTGGGAAATTTTTTATCTCCTTTTATTTTGAAGGATAGCCTTGCTGGATAAAGAATTCTCAGTTGCATATTTCCTGATTCAGCACGTTGGATATATCCTGCCACTCCGCTCTGGCCTGCCAGATTTCTGTGGACAGGTCGCTGCGAACCTGATCTGATTTCCCTTATAGATTAAGGACTTTTTTCCCCTTGCTGCTTTCATGATTCTTTCTTTGCCTGAGTATTTTGTGAATTTGACTATGATATGCCTTGTTGTTTGTTGGGTTTTGTTGAGTCTAATGGGAGTTCTCTGTGCTTCCTGGATTTTGATGTCTGTGTCTTTCCCCAGGTTGGAAAGTTTTCAATTATGATTTGCTCACATAAACCTTCTACCCCTTTTTGTCTCTCTTCATCTTCTGGGACCCCTATGGTCCAGATGTTATTCCATTCTAATGAGTCACTGAGTTCTCTAGTTCTCTAATTCTTATATCGTGCTCGTTTGCCTTAGTTTCCCTCTTTTTTTCTGCTTCATTATTCTCCATAAATTTGTTTTCTATATCACTGATTCGCTGCTCTGCTTCATCCATCTTTGCTGCTATGGCGTTCATTTGAGATTGCATCTCAGTTATAGCATTTTTAATTCCATCCTGATTAGATTGTACTTCTTTTGTCTCTGCAGAAAGGCATTCTATGCTTTTTTAAACCTCAGCTAGTAGTCTTATTATCATGATTCTAAATTCTGGTATAGACCTCTTAATGTGTGTTGATTAAGTCCCTGGCTGTCATTTTTTCCTCTTCTTTTTTTGAGGTGAATTTCTTCATTTAGTCACTTCGAAGAAAGAAAAAGAATTAACAAAACAAAAAATAAATTAATTAAAATTTAGAAATTCAAAACAAAAAAAATCAAGTAAAGGATGCTAGATCCTAGGCATGTTTTGGTCTGATTGTTGAGAGAAACTGGATAGAACAGAGAAAAAAGGGAAAGAAAAGAAAAGCAAATGTTTGAAATTTTTGAAAAATGAATATAATAGAATAAAATGAAATGATGAATTAAAAATAGAATTTAAAAAATTTACAAAGAAGTAAAAAATAAAGAAAAATTAAAAATATTTTTTATAGGGGCGCCTGGGTGGCTTAGTCGGTTAAGCGTCGACTTTCGCTTAGGTCATGATCTCGCGGTTCGTGGGTTCGAGCCCCGCGTCGGGCTCTGTGCTGACTGCCAGCTCGGAGCCTGGAGCCTGTTTCAGTCTGTGACTCCCTCTCTCTCTGACCCTCCCCTGCTCACGCTGTCTCTCTCTCTCTCTCTCTCCTAGAAATAAATAAAAAACATTAAAAAAAATTTAAAAAAATATATTTTTTATAAAAAGAGAAAATTAGGGGCACCTGGGTGGTTCAGTTGATTAAGTGTCTGACTCATGAGTTTGAGTCCCGCGTCGGGCTCTGTGCTGACAGTTCAGAGCCTGGAGCCTGCTTCGGATTCTGTGTCTCCCTCTCTCTCTGCCCCTCCCCCTCTCACACTCTGTCTCTCTTTCCTCAAAAATAAACATTAAAAATTTAAAAAAAGAAAATAAAAATAAATTTTTTCTCTTTCTGTATTCAAAAATAAGAAATGAAAAAAATTGAATAGATGGATCAGCAAACAGAATGAAATATGATTAAAACTACATCCAGTATTCCCTAGAAATAAAACCATGAACCACTTTATACTCTAAACTAAGCAGGCGGAGAGACTCATGGTGGTCCTCCAGAGCACGGTTGGCCCAGTTGGGTGGGGCTTGGTGTAATAGCTCCTTTCTCCACTAGATGGCCCTGCTTTGTTTACTGTGGTGGCTCATTGAGGTGTCTGTAGGCGTGTATGCCTATGCATGAACGAGGTGAAAGTGGTGTCCCCCAGCTACCCAGTCTCTAGTATCAGAACTCTGTGCTCTTGCTGACTGATAGTCTAGCACCCATCCTTTGTCTCTCGCTTCTGCCCACTCTTGCTTCTCCGCTGTCTGTGACCAAGCCGTCAGGCTGCCAGGTGGCACCTCCCTCTGGGTTTTATCTCAGATGGAGCTGTGTTTCCCAACCCCTCACTTCTGAGGGACTGTGGCTTTGACCCACTCCCACCCTACGGAGAAGAGTCTCACTGAGCAATGGCCGAGTGCCGGCCCACCCCCAGGAACGTCCACACCACCGAGCTGCAGCAGATGCCCAGAGACTGCAGCTGGGCGTCAGCCCACCTCAGAAAACGTTTGTGCGATTATATAGCAGGAGCGTTTCAGGGATTATGGTAAAACAGAACACGCATCTGGCACCAGGCTGCACCCTTAATGTCCTTGTTCCAGCACCGGTGGCTGTGGCTGTTCTCCAGGGTCCGCTGGGACCTTTGCCTGTGGGGGAGGCTGCACAACCTCTACTAAGTGTCCTCCCAGCGGGCAGCCGCCTCTGCCCCTGTGGCCCTCGGACCCCTCGGACCTTACCGCCTGCTCCTGGGGATTCACCCCTCCCACCAGAGCGCCACCCACTGTCGGCGCTGTGGAGTTGCAGGCTCTGTGCTCCTCTGGAGTCACTAGTGGTGTTTAAACCCTCTGCCTTCTCTCTTTCTTGTCTGTGCCCTTGCGGGTATTTCCACTCCTTCTCTTTCTCTCCAGCTGCTTTGGGGGAAGTGCTTTTCCTGTACTCTCCCCGCGTGTCCATCCTCTCTCTGCAGCAAAACCGCTCCTGCCCTCCATGGCGTCTCTTTTCCCCAGTCCACCTCTCCGTGCCACGTGCCTGCCGAGTTAGGTGTTCAGCTTGTGCAGATTGCTGTGTTGATCCTCAAGTCAGTTTTCTAGGTGTGCAGAGCGGTTTGGTGTCGGTCTAGCTGCATTTCAGGGACAAGAGAGGTCCTTCCGTGCTGTTTTGCCATCTTGGGCCCCCTCCCCTGCCTCATTTTAATTACCTGTTAAAAAAAATTTTTTTAATGTTTATTGATTTTTAAGAGAGAGAGACACACACAGAGTGTGAGTGGGGGGAGAGGCAGAGAGAGAGGGAGACACAGAATCTGAAGCAGCTCCAGGCTCCGAGCTGTCAGCACAGAGCCCGACGTGGGGCTTGAACCCACGAGTCGTGAGATCATGACCTGAGCCGAAGGCGGACACTCAACTGACTGAACCACTCAGGCTCCCCTAAAACAGTCACATTGGAAGGTACCAAATGTTAGGACTTCACCATATTAATTTTGAGGCAACACAGCTCAGCCCAAAAAATGTCTTAATATTTGATACAGTGATTTGCCCCCTCACTTGTCTTTTGTCAGTGTTGTCTCAGCCATATTTAGGTCTTTATTTTTCCCATAATATTTTATACTAAATTGACTCAGCCCTTTAAAAAAATCCAGGTGGGGGCGCCTGGGTGGTTAAGTCGGTTAAGTGTCCGATTTCAGAACAGGTCATGATCTCAACAGTTTGAGGGTTTGGGCCCGACATCAGGCTCTGTGCTGACAGCTCGGAGCCTAGAGCTGCTTCAATTCTGTGTCTCCCTTTCTTTCTGCCCTTCCCCTGCTCTTGCTTTGTCTGTCTCTCTCAAAAATAAATAATAAACATTTTTAAAAATTCCAGTTGGAATTTTTATTTAGGTTGCAATGAATTTATAGATTAATTTGCAAAAATAACATGTTTATAATGTTAATTCAATCCCATCCAAGACTATGGAATGTTTTTTTAATATACTTGAATATTCCTTTTTGTATTTTTTTAATGTTTATTTATTTTTGAGAGACTGAGACAGAGCATGAGCAGGGGAGGGGCAGAGAGAGGGGGAGACAGAATCTGAAGGAGGCTCCAGGCTCTGATCTGGCAGCACAGAGCCAGACATGGGGCTCAATGTCACAAACCTTGAGATCATGACCTGAGGTGAAGTCGGACGCTTCTGACTGAGCCACCCAAGCACCCCTCTTTTTTCCAATTCTGAAACATTTATTTGTTTATTTATTTTTTTATTTTTGTCCTGTAGGAATGGCTAATGTAATTAGTACTGTGTACCAGTGTGCTGGGTAGTATGAGTCTTTGTTTTGTTCCTACTGCTAGTTATCTACTGCTGTGTAACAAATCACCCCAAGACTTAACAACTTAAGGGTGCCTGTGTGGTTCAGTCAGTTGAGCATCTGACTCTTGATTTCAGCTTGTGTCATGATCCCAGGGTTGTGGGATTGAGCCCCAAGTTAGGCTCCGTGCTGAGCATGGAGCCTACTTAAGATTCTCTCTCTCTCTCTCTCTCTCTCTCTCTCTCTCTCTATCTATCTATCTCTCAAAATTAAGAAGAAAAAAAAAGTTTACTTGTGACAAGCCTGCATGCACAGAGCCAGTTTGGATCTCTCCTTGAGTCTTATGTGATAAACAAGAGGCATTGGCCCAACTCAGCCCTTCTTGGCTAACAAACTCTGGAAAACAATCTTTTTGCCTGGGGGAGATTGTTACAGCCATTCAGTTTTTTCTTTCTCCTTGCAGTGCCCAAGACGAAGATTTTGGCCACTGGAGGGGCATCTCACAACAGAGAAATCTTACAGGTATGTGCTGGTAGCAAGCTGAACAGATGGGCATCTTCCATGTCAGTTATTTCTTTTTTTATTTTAATTTGTTTAACATTCATTCATTTTTGAGAGAAATAGAGTACAAGCGGGGGAGAGGCAGAGAGAGATGGAGACACAGAATATGAAGCAGGCTCCAGGCTCTGAGCTGTCAGCACAGAGCCCGATACAGGGCTCGAACCCACAAACCGTGAGATCATGACCTGAGCCGAAGTCAGCTGCCCAGCCTACTGAGCCCCCCAGGCGCCCTGTTTGGGCTTGTTGATACTAGTCTGATACCCGGCCATCTCCACCTTGACCATTGGCTAAGCATACTTCCTAAATCTTCCTTCTTATCTTTGATAAAATGGTTAAATCGTGCAGGGACAATCTGGAGAGCTGTGGCCCTCCACTAGATATGTCCCTCCAGGTCATCCTGACCCTGTTATTGCCAGGTGGTGTGGCCACTATACTTCCTTTAAGGCAGTAGAGGTGGACTGGAAGGCATCAGAACACACATGAGGAAAGAGAGCCTAGAAAATGCATGTCAGTGGGGCACCTGGGTGGCTTTGGATTTTGGGTCTCCCTCTCTCTGCCACTCCCTCACTTGTACTCTCTCTCTCTTTCATATAAATAAACGTAAAAGCGGGGGTTGGGGGGTGGGGGATGCCTGGGTGAGTCAGTTGGTTAAGCATCTGACTTCAGCGCAGGTCATCATCTTGTGGTTTGTGAGTTTGAGCCCCGCCTTAGGCCATGCACTGACAGCTCGGAGCCTGGAGCTTGCTTGGGATTCTGTGTCTTCCTCTCTCTTGTCCCCTCCCCTGCTCATTCTCTGTCTCCCCTCCCTCCTTCCCTCCCCCTGTCTTTCTGTCTCAAAAATTAAAAAGAAAGAAAGAAAACGCATGCCAAAATGTCCGTCTTCCCTCTGAGGAAGAACTTAGCGATGACAAGAACCTCTGTCATTTCCAGGTACTTGCGGATGTGTTTGGCGCCCCGGTGTATGTCATCGACACTGCCAGCTCTGCCTGCCTGGGCTCTGCCTACCGAGCTTTCCACGGTAGGGCGATGGACGGGGAACAGGGCTTCTGGAAGGGCTGGGGCTCCGGCCGGGCCGGTCCTTCGGGCGTCAGGGCTTTAGTTTCACTCTTCTCCCTCCTGGCAGGTGGGAACCAGCCCCCAGCCTTTTCTTCCTTTATTCTGTACTTAAAGTGGGGAAAGAAAAGTAGGTTCCTAACTGAATGAGCTTGGTCACAGTCAGGTTCAGCACAGGGACATTGGGAAAGGACGTGGGACATGCTTGAGGGCACAGGGGCACGGATCTCGACAGCCAGTGGCCAGGAGAGTGGATGAAGTCCAGAGCCGTAGTATTCTCAGCAAACGCAGGAAGTGGAGACAAAGAGGAGGTGTCAGGGCCGAGCCGAGCAGCACCCTGGACAGCTCCGCGGGCCCTCTCGCCCGCGGCCTCGGGGCGAAGAAGGGGCTCCCTCCTCTGAGCGGGTGCTTGTGGGAGCCGCGCACGCCCACAGGGGCCCGGGTAGATTCGCCCCGTCCTCTGCCTGCTCAGACTGCTGCCTCAGGGGCTCTCTTCCCTCCAGCCATGCCGCTCTTCGTGCATTTACTCTTAACTTTCTAACACACCTTTTTAAACTGAGTTTTTCCATCAACCTCGAGAATTAGTCAGGGACCGGATCCTTCTCTTAATAGTAAACCTCTTACTCTTCCCGCCCTCTCCACGCTGTCCACCCCCCCCCCCATACCACCCCCGTGTCAGCATCACTGGGCAGTTTATTTCCACGCCAGGGTTTTAATTAAACTTTTCATGTTGGCTTTTATTTGCACTTCTCTTTGGATTTCTCTCTCTCTCTCTTTTAATTCCCTGCAATTTCTTTCTTCTTTTTCTCTTCCTTGATAGTTCTGTTGGAATGTGCAACCTAGGTAAGTTTAAGAAGGAATTCAGTAGGCGATCGTTTCGGAGGCCTAACGTGTCCAGCACAGACTTTCCCGCTCTCCGAAAGGCGCTACCTTGGCGGGCAGAGGCCCCAGTTTCAAAATGCTCCTCAGCACCTTGAAAATCCTGTTCCATAGTCTTTCGGCCTTCAGTGTCGCCCACGAGAAGCCTGGGGCCTGCTTCCCGCTCGTCCCGCTGCTGAAGGGGGAGAGGAGCTGCCCTTCGGGGACCCCATTGCTACGCGGCACCGCGTTTCTTTCTCATTTTTCCTTTCCGGTGCCCGTTTTGTGGCCAGACGTCGCTGGGCTGCTGCCCCACTCGCGCCCCCAAAGCCCGAGCTGAGTCCCAGCACGGCAGCCCTCACCCCGAGGTGCGTCAGCCACTTCAGGCCCGTTTCCCCAGGCGCATCCAGGGTGAACCTCGCCCGTAGCCGGTCTCTGGATGAGTGGGGAGGCGGCCAGTGTCTTCCGCTCGGTCCTCTGCTGGCCCCCGCCCCCCGCCGCTCTGAGCTGGGCTGCCTCGCGTCTGGCTGGGACCCGGGCCTCGTGCTCAGCGGGCCCTCCCTCACCTCTGGCGACCCTGACTTCCCCACCGGTCTGAAACCACTCCTTAAATTCCCTAGAAATTCCTCGCTTTTCTTGCCCACCTAGGGCAACCTTTTCTCTTTTCCAGCCCTGCACTCATTTACGTGGTGAGCATTTATTGAGTGCTTCGGGTATGCAGGGGTGTGCCAGGCAGCAGGGCTCCGGTGGAAACCCAGTCCCTGGCCTCGCAGAGCTCGGGCTCAGCAAGGGAGGGACCTGAGACGTGTAGGCGAAGCTCTGTGCACGGCAGCCAGGACTGTGGGCTGGGGGGCTCGGGAGCCTCCAAACAAGTGCCGGTTTTGGCTGCGGCTGCGGCTTATCTGAGGAGCAGCCGTGAAGAGAGGAGGCAGGAACACCTCACAGGAAGGTCAAGGAAAAGGCCCTGAGGCAGGAGGAACTGTACGCAGCCTGGGGTGGCTTCAGTGCGCGAGCCATGGGGGGGCACACGTGAGGGGAGGAGGCAAGGCCATGGGGGGGCGCACGTGGGGGGCAGGCAAGGCCATGGGGGGGTACACGTGGGGGGGCAGGCAAGGCCATGGGGGGTATATATGAGGGGGGGCAGGCAGGGCCACGGGAGGGGGGCAGGCAAGGCCACGGGAGGGGGGCCCATGTGAGGGGGGCAGGCAAGGTCTCCCCTGTGGCTGGGTGCTGGGTGTTAGCCTCCCTGCTGTGCTACATGTGTCACAGTGAGCAGGACAGACTAGGGCCTGTCGGGGAGAGGTCTGCACGTGAAGTCTCTCCCTTCTCTCTCGCTCTTTTTAAAAAATGTTTATTAGGGGTGCCTGGGTGGCTCAGTCGGTTAAGCATCGGACTTCAGCTCAGGTCGTGATCTCACAGTTTGTGGGTTTAAGCCCCACATCAAGCTCTGTGCTGACGGCTCAGAGCCTGTTTCAGATTCTGTGTCCCCCTCTCTCTCTCTGCCCCTTCCCCACTCATGCTCTGTCTCTCAAAACTGAATAAATGTTAAAAATAAAATAAAGAAATAAAAAATGTTTATTTTTGAAAGAGAGACTGAGTCAAGGTCAAGAGGGACAGAGAGAGGGAGACTCAGAATCCAAATCAGGCTCCAGGCTCTGAGCTGTCAGCACAGAGCCTGACACGGGGCTCGAACTCACAAACTGTGAGATCCTCACCTGAGCCAAAGTCGGACGCTTAACCTACTGCGTAGCCCCCCAGGCTCATCTCTTCTCCCCTTTTTTAAACAGTTTTGTGAAGGCCCAATTTATATGACATGAAAGTCACCCAATTTTGAGTGCACAGCTCAGCGATTTTTAGTCAGTTGACTGAATTGTGCTGCCATCCCCATAATCTAGTTTTAGAACATTCTGTCACCCCAGAGAGAAGATGCTATTTTCCGTTAACGTCTTCATTTACAACGTGCACTGAATTTTCCTTCCAGGCCTCACAGCTGGAACGGACGTGCCCTTTTCAGAGGTGGTGAAGTTAGCCCCGCCTCCCAGGTTAGCTGCTGCCCCCACCCCGGGAGCTTCTCAGGTGAGAGACCGTCAGAATTCGGACGTAGCCGTTGCGGTGTGGTAGCCCAAGACAGCCCGGGTTGGCGGCGCCAGGCCTCTTGCAGAGATGAAAATGCACATTCGCTCCTAACAGCCTCCTGTTGACCTGAGTGAGGCCTGAGTGATAACACGTGGTCAGTTAACACACGTTTAGTGTAGCCTGTGTGTTACATGCTGTATTATTACGGTAAGTCAAGGTAAGATATTAAGAAGATAATAAGCAAAATACATTTACAGTCTACCGTGTTGGAAAAACTCACCTATGAGTGGACCTGCACCACTCAAAGCCACAATGTTCAAGGTCAACTGTAGGTTCTTTTTGCCAAAAGGTAAGTTTTGCTCTGTCACTTAATGTTAAAGTTGACGTGCTCAACTAAAGGGGAAATCCCACGTTTGTGTCTTTCATTGTTAAGGAAGCAGCAAGAGATGCCGGGTTGTCAGCTGAGATTTGCTCACTGTGCTGAGCCACTGTGCTGAGCGTACAGCCCCAGGGGCACGTAGATTGCTGGGCGTGTCTTTCCCGGGTCCTCGGCCTCAGGATGGGCCCTTCCATCTCACCGCAGACAGACCCCACTGGAAGGAAGCCGCCCACTTAAGCACAGGATGTGCTGTGTTGTGGTGTGGTCTGAAGTCTGGATCCAGACAAGCGTGCAGTTACCCAGCCTGGGGGAGCCCCATGAAGGCAGGCGCCGCTCCTCACGGGTCGGGTTCTCCGGAAAGCGGACCCTGCGAGGCGCTGGTTAGGGTGCAGGAGATTTATTGGAGGCGCTCGTGGGGCGGACACGTGTGGAGGGGAAGCCAGGCAGGGGGGCACAGAGGGAGGAGGGGAGCCACAGGGCCCGTCCCGGAGGACGTTCTGAAGCAGAGGCGACTCTGGAGTTTAACCCAGTTGGGATGAGGGGGCCGGCCCCTCATGCCTCGTGTCCATCCGTCTCTGCGTGCAGGCCACCCCACATGGGCTAAGGCGGCTCTCTGTAGCCAAAGCAAACCCCAAAGGGGCTGTCAGCCGAGGGCGGAAGAACAAGCTCCTCAGGCCTGAAGGGCAGTCCGCGTGGCATGCCGGAGCACAGCCGCTGCTGTTTGCGGAAGGTTCCGGAAGCCCAGGAGCAGGGCTGCGCAGGCGGAGGCCGTTACCGCTCATCTAGCAGGCAGCTTGGGCTTCTTGCCTGCATCGCATTTCCTCGCCCACGTGGAGCGTGGGCCCAGGAGGACGGGAGCCTGGCTCCCTGTCTGTGTCACAGCTGAGCCACCCCCGGCTTAGGAAATTCCTGAGTTATGGATGAGCTGAAAGCAGATCTGCCCAACCTTTGGCCCCAAGGGAGACCTTATCTGTACTCTCCTGGTCAGCAAGTACATTCCCCTCTTCCCCTGAGGGCGACTCTATCTTCCGAGGCTGCTTGCTGTGTAAACACGGAAGAGATAGTCTGCAGCAAAACCCAGCCCCCGACACTTAGAAACTCCATGGAGAATCCTCTCCCAACATACCTGGGAGCAGGTGACCAGGTAACCCCCACACACAGGTGTGCCTGCGCCTCTGTGACTCGTGTGCCCTCACCTGGAAGAGGCAGCCCAGTGCGATACCCTAACCGGATAGAAGGGGCCTTTGGGTTCTGGTTCCTGTCCTGACTCCCTCACCGTGTAACCTGGAACAGCACTTCACGTCTCTGTCTCTGGTCTCTGAACCTGGTTCTTCGTCTGTGAAGGGGGACATCTGTGCTGCCTACTTCTTCTATTAGTAGTAGAGAAAGAAGGAGAAACTTGAGCTGAGTGTGGAGCCTGATGCGAGGCTCGATCCCACAACCCTGGGAGCATGACCTGATCCGAAATCAACAGTTGGACGCTCAACCAGCAGAGCCACCCAGGCACCCTGGGCTGCCTGCTTTTAACCTACTAATTGTGAGGCTTAAAAGGAGTCCTTGACTCTAATGGCTCGATTATGTGTGTAACAGGAAGTCTGAAGGTAGCTGCTGGAGTCGATTTAGTGGTTTGGCAACGTCAGGGCTCTGGGTCGTGTTCCCTTAGGTTCTTCAGGTCAGCAGAGGACAGTGGGGCCGTGAGAACCTCACAGGCCATTTGCAGCCTCCTTCATTAAAAAGATACAATGAGGGGCGCCTGGGGGGCTCAGTCGGTTAAGGGTCCCACTTCGGCTCAGGTCATGATCTCACGGTTCGTGGGTTCGAGCCCCGCGTCAGGCTCTGTGCTGACAGCCTGGAGCCTGGAGCCTGATTTGGATTCTGTGTCTCCCTCTCTCTCTGCCCCTCCCCTGCTGGCGCTTGCTCTCTCGCTCTCTCTCTCTCAAAAATAAACATTAAAAAAAAGATTAAATAAAATGATTAATTTTACAGATCTATTTTATCCAGTAGGTCCAAAACATTGTCATTTCGACAAGTAGTAAGGAAGTCGCCAGCGGGGTACCTGACGTCCCTCTTCTTTGTCTCAGGCTTTTGCAGCCTGGGGTGAGCCGTGTGCTCACAGCACTGCTCACATTTCCGGCGCCCAGGCTTGCGGCCGCTGGCTGGGCAGGGGTGCGGCTCTAGGCGGGCCCCAGGCGGGCACAGGATCACGGTCACGGGATCGCGCATCCGCCGCCCCACCCAGCGCCGGATCCCCAGGCAGGAAGGGGAGCGTGGCCTCCGAAGGCTTCTTCCCACGCCCTTCTGGCTCCTCAGGGAGAGAACCCTGGTCTGTCCCCTCAGCACCGCCCCCACTGCCACTGGTCACATGGTCCCCCCTGGTTGTAAGAGCTGGGGTAGGTTCAGGCTTTCTTATCCTCTAGAGGGAGGCTCCCAGGGAGAAGGTAGCTGGGACCCGAGGGCCCCAGACAGCTGTGCCCGCTCCTCAGAGGCAGCACGCGCTCTGTGTGCCGCCGCCTTCCCCGGCGTGCCCACGACCAGGGTCGCCAAGACCTCCTGGACTCTTTACTCTTTTTTATTTTTTACATTTTTTGATGTTTGTTTATTAATATTGAGAGAGAGGGAGAGAGACAGAGGGAGAGCGTTGAAGCGGGGGAGGGGCAGAGGGAGGGAGACACAGAATCCGCAGCAGCTCCAGGCTCCGAGCTGTCAGCACAGAGCCCGACGCGGGGCTCGAACCCATGCACCGCAAGATTGTGACCTGAGCCGAAGTCGGACGCTCAACCGACGGTACAATGTGAGCGTTTGTAGGCGGCCCAGGAGCTCTTCGCTCTGTGACCTCAGAACCCTCAGAGCACCGAGTCCCAAGCAGCAACAGCCTTGATCGCCCGCGTAGCGTCCTCTGTGCGCCTGCCCCATTGTGCTCAAGTGGAGACGCCCCCCTGTAACCGTGTTTTCTCTAATTTTAAAAAAACACTACAGCACAACATGCGTCTTTGTATTCTTAAAGCTGAGCATACACGAGGCGCCTGGGGGGTTCCGTGGGTTAAGTGCCCGACTTCAGCTCAGGCCATGACCTCACTGCTCATGGGTTCGAGCCCCGCGTCAGGCTCTGTGCTGACAGCTTGAAGCCTGGGCCCTGCTTCACATTCTGTCTCCCTCTCTCTCTGCCCTTCCCCCACTTGTGCTCTGTCTCTCTCAAAAATAAATAAACTTTAGAAAAAACTGAGCATACACATTATTTTTAACAACTGCATAATATTCTACCTGGCTATTGAACCAATAGTTTCTTTTAAGTTTATTTATTTTGAGAGAGAGAAAACACACACGCACACACACACAGGGGAGGGGCAGAGAGAGAGAGGGAGAGAGAAAGAGAATCCCAAGCAGGCTCCGTGTGGTCAGCGCAGAGCCCGACAGGGGGCTCGAACTCACGAACTGTGAGAACCTGACTTGAGCTGAAATCCAGAGTCGGATGCTGAACCGACTGAGCCAGCAGGTGCCCCCCGGTACTTAACTTGAGCGTTTAATATGTCTTAGAACAGTTGCTTCTAGTTTTTTTAATTACTATAATTGAAATGATGTGAGTAAAAGGTTAACAAAACCTATTCTACATGAAAGTTTGAATTTGGTTAACTTTCTACCTCCGTTTCCTTTGAGACCATAAAAATGGAACGTCAGCACTACCACCAGGCCACAGGTCGCTCGTGTTAAAATTGAGCCTAATCAGGGCGCCGCATCTGGAGTGCGAGACCCACGCTTACCGGACGGGAGGCGTCCCAGGGCTCCCTCAGTCCAGCGGCGTCTCGGGCAAGACCCCTGCCTGCGGGCTTGTTAGAGACACCCCGCCGGGGCCCGGGCTTCCATCCCAGGCGGCCCTTGCACCTGTCTGTGTATGATGTGGGTTTCGTCTCGTTGAGCCTGAGCTATAACGTGGGGGGCGGGCCGCCCTTCCCTGGACGCTTGTGCAACCTGCTCTAGGGAGCACTGCACCAGCCGCTTCTCCGGTGTGTCCTTGTGAGGCCAAGGTGTGGCCCCGGGGGCCTTAGGGGACAGGGCGTTCGGTGTCTGAGAGGACCCTCAGTCGGCTTGCCCCCCCCCCGTGTAGGTGCCCTTAGGAGAACTTTGCGGAAGTAGGTGCCCGGGTCCAAGGCTGGGGGCGTTTTCAAGCCCTGTAAGGCCAGTGCACAGTCAAGTTGGTTTCCCGAAGTTCTGCACCAGCAGCTTCTCCAGCCGCGGGAAGAGACCGCGCACGACCAGGGCCCTAGAGCTTTTAAAGATGTTGGAGACTTAATAACAGAAATCGTTTGTCTGTCCTCATTTGCCTTTTCAAAAAGTCTTCAACTGTAGGTTTGAGCACTACTAGCTTTTCCTCCTGTGTGAATCGATGCTTCCTTGCTCTTGCGGCGCAAAAGTTGAGTCACAAGCGAGCGGGGTATTAAGTGGTAACGTTGCGGGTCGCGGGGGGGGTGCAGAGGCAACCCCCCTCCCCCCTAACCGCTCCCTCTGCCCCTGCAGGTGTACGGGGCCCTCCTCGCGCGCTACGCCAGCCTGGAGCAGCGGGTCCTGTCCGAGCTCCGGGGGGCTCCTGCCAGCCCCGCCTGCGACCGGCCCCTGGGCAGCAGGGACCCCCGTCCGTGTTCTGAGTGACTCGCCTGCCCACCTGACGCCCCGCAGTGCCCCCGTCCTGCCCAGGACCCCCGAGCCCGGGCCGTCATGTACAGGCACTTAAACCAGCAGAGCAGGGGGGCAGCCATTCCCCAGCCCCCGACCCCAGCACCCCTTCTCCAGCGCTGACTCTGGCCACCCCTTCCCCGACTGTAACCCACAGCCACTCCCGCCCCGAACCGGGACCCCAGCATCCATTCTCCCCCCAACCCTGACTCCCTCCTTTCAGTGTCTGAACGGCCCCCCAGGCCCTTCCTGCCCTGCCCCCGCCATGCTCACTGCCCCTGCCCCTGCGTCATCTCTTCCTCCTCCCCACGCCCACCTGCTCAGACTCACTACTTCCCACCCAAAGAGTTGGACAGGCCCGGTGACCACGCTTCGTGTCCCTCCCACAGGCTCTCCCCACGGGCGGCCTGACTCCCGGCACCCACACCCCTCAGAGCACCCCCCCCCCAGCAGTACAGGGCAGCCCCTGCCTCCCTCCACCCTTCCTTCAGGAGAATTTCTCAAGTCCTGGATTTTGTTGATTCTAGTTCTGGGCTGTCATTGAACATGTTCTGTGTCTTCTGTATTTCCTATAAATTGGTGGTTGGATCCAGCACAGAGCTCCTCAGCCTCAGTACTGTTGACGTTCGGGGCAGGGTAAATTTTGGGGGGGGGCAGCGGGGTCACTGGCGTCTCCCCCCACACGCCAGCATCGCCCTCTCCCCAAGCGTGACAACCAAGTGTCTCCAGACATGCGCACCGATGCTCCTGCCGGGGGTGGGGAGCTCCATGACCACTGACTCACGGGCCCGATCGGATGCAATGTGATTCTTTTCCCTTAGTGTCCACTGTCTCTCCTTTTGTGATGCTCCTGCTTCGCTCGTTAGTTCACCAGGGACACAACTTTGCTCTTCATTTATGGCCTGGCATTCGTCTGGGACCTTCCGTGTGCAGTTACCCCGTGGTGGTGGTCGTGTGGGAGACGCCCAATAACCAGATTCTTTCCCTGCTCACCAGCCTTCAGAATAATAGGTTAATCCCCCGGCATCCTCTGACAGCGCTAGATTTTTATTTTTAGTGTCAATATGGTACATTTAACATTTTTATGTATTTTAATCCATTGTAATTATCTTATCCTTGCCGCCTTTTTGATAGTCACTCTCTCCAACTCTTCTGTTTTCCGGATGTTTCTTTCCTTCTTTCTTTACTGATACGTCAGCTCTGTTTGCTCCGGAATCACGGCCGGGCCTCGAATCTGCCCTCAGCCTCCTGCTCACCCACTCTGTTCTCTTGTAGGAAGGTTGCACCTGTTCTTGGGTCTCAACCACTGTTCGTGCACCCGGAAGACCCAGACCTGTCTCCATCCAGAACTCTTGTACTTCAGCCTCCACTTACTTCCCTTGCCCTTCCCTAAACCTCCTCCTCGCATGTTGTTTCAGTGGCTTGGCACCTCCACCCACCCACGCATCCATTCGTCCATGCATCCACCCTTCCACGCATCCACGCGTCCACCCGTCCACACATCCACCCACCCATGCATCCACCCGTCCACGCATCCACCCTTCCATGCATCCAGGAACCGAAGCCCCAAATGCGGATATCTTCCCTCTTTCCCACATCAGATTAGTCACCAAGTGAGCTTGGTCATTCCTTTGGTAGCTCCTAAAGCAGTTCCTTTCTCTCCATCCCCCCGTTTCACTTTGGACCCCTTCATCCCTTGCTCAAATTATGACAACAGCCTACAGAGAAAAGCCTCTGCCGTCTGCTTCTGGAGAATCCTCCAGATTTCCCCTCTGCTGCAGGCCCTCGCCTGAATCGGGACTGCAGTTACACCAGGCTCCTTGTGGTCTCACCTGGAGGGGAAAAATGCTGCAAAGCAGGTCTGAGACTTGGTGGGTTAGAGCGGTGGAGAGGGGGAGGTCAAAAGGAAGAGGTTTAGGAAATGAGCGGGGCCAGCAACATCGCTTGTGAGAGAGATGAAGTCATCTTGCAAGGAAGTGGTGTCCCTAACAGGCTTGGTGGATGAGAGGCAAAGGGAAGCAGAAAGCTGAGGATGACAGCCCGTCAGCAGCCAAAGATTCAGAGGAAAATGGGCAACTTCCCACCCCTGCTACCTAGACATTACTCGTTAAAGAAATTTCACAATAGTGACCAACAGAAAAAGGCTCTCTTAGACCAAGAAATAGAAACAGCCAGTCAGTCCGTTTCCCACTTTGCCTCTGTCCCCGTAGAGCTGCCGGTTACTGCAAGCATGTCAACATAATAGAAAAAGGAACTTACCACATATACAAATACGGGAAGAAAACAAAGTGAGAATTTTTCAAGCTGATGAAATACTCCAAAATTAAGAGAACAAGAGACTAAGGAACAAATAGGGTAAATTGTAACAACCCTCCAATATGAACTTTAAGTTTTAATACAAGTGCGGATACGAAAGAATATCACAGATCGGAGCATTTAAGTTCAGAATAAAAAATGAAGGCATGACGGGCATGTGTGAAGAGAGAACCCGATCAAGCTTGGGAAAGAATTTGAACAAAAATTTAGAAACATCATAGAAATGAAGACTAAATTACAACACATTCAAATAAATATTAAGATGTCTCCAAGTACAGTGTAGCGTATAGAAGGTGAGAATGATAAAAGCTAAGACAACAAGCGTTAGGAAGAGCTGAAAAAGTCCAGAACAAAATGGATAGGTAAAGTAACAGGTAAAATTGGAGCTCACAGAAGCTACCAAAAGAGAAGATGGTGGAATTGGTTAATTTTTTAAATTATTTTTAAAAATGTAATTTATTGTCGAATTGGCTAACAAAGTGTGTAAGTGAGCTCTTGGTTTTGGGGGTAGATTCCCGTGATTCATTGCTTACATATAACACCCAGTGCTCATCCCAACAAATGCCCTCCTTGATGCCCACCACCCACTTTCCCCTCTCCCTCACCCCCATCAACACTCAGTTTGTTAAGTTTCTCAAAATAGTGGAATTGGTTAATACTTAAAACTGCCCCAGAAGTTTCTGAAAAAGCAGAAGAAGAGCTGAATCTTTATCTTGAAAGGGCCCTTTTTTGTTACATAGAAAACTGACCCAGAACGATCAACTGAGACCTATTCTAGCAAACGATTACACTTTGAAGCTGAGGAAAAAAACCCATCTAGGCCAAAAGAGCTAGTTTCTTACAAAGGAAAGGTGAGGTTGGCATCAGACTTCTCAAAAAACAAGTAGCAGTGGAGCAATGTTTTCAAGAAATTTGAAGAAAAAGGGGCGCCTGGGTGGCTTAGTTGGTTGAGCGTCCGACTTTCGCTTGGGTCATGATCTCACGGTTCGTGGGTTCGAGCCCCGCGTCGGGCTCTGTGCTGACTGCCAGCTCAGAGCCTGGAGCCTGTTTCAGCCTGTGACTCCCTCTCTCTCTGACCCTCCCCTGCTCACGCTGTCTCTCTCTCTCTCCTAAAAAAAAAAATAAAACATTAAAAAAAATTAAAAAAAAAAAAGAAATTTGAAGAAAAAATCAGAACGAAGAATAAGTGTTTTGTGTCAGGCTAAGCTCTCCTTTAAGTATCAAGGATATACAGAAGTTTGAATCAGGGAGGAGCTCAGAAAATAGTGTACTCCTAACCCTGAAGGATCTTACTAAAAGACAAGCTTCAACCAACTAGGAGATGGTTGGGGAACTTCAGCAAAATGACTGATGGTGAGCATTCAATATCTTTAGTTTCAGATCTAAGACCAAAATAAAAGTGGAGATAAGGGTGGAAGAATAGCATCAAGTGGTATATGTGCTTTGACGAGGTAGAAATAACAATGAAACGAATGAAAAGGGAGAAAGAGAACAAGACAAAAACATCTTGTTGCAAAGACAACGTGTACAAGGCAAAGGATATCATTTAAAGTTGACAAACCAAATAGTTGGGGCTTAAGGGAAAAAACGAAACATTATATAAAGGTAATAGTGTAGTATAAAGATAATCACTAGAATAAAAAAAGAAATCTCCCTCAATGCCCAAAGAAAAAATAGTAAAGACAATAAATAAATCACATAGAAACATGCAGGGAATGTAGTATCCTACACACAGCAATATAATAACAAGCATAGAGTCAAATTAGTCAATTAAATGGCTTAACTCATCTATTTAAAAAGTTCAAAATGAGCAAAAGGGAAAAAAGAGGTAAACCGAGAAACACCCTAACACGGTTACCAGGAGAGGTGAAGGGGGGGATGGGTGGAGTAGGTGATGGGGATTGCAGAGGGCACCTGTGATGAGCACGGGTGTTGTATGGAAGTTTGAACACTATACCGTACACCTGAAATTAATATTGCGCTGTATGTTAACACATTTAAAGACTCAGTAAAATATTTTTTTAAGTCCCATCTGGAGAAAGGCTTTCTATGAATTGCTCTTGGGGCAAAGCGGAAATATATACCAAAATTTTAAAAAAATGATAATGAAATCTGTGATATATTTAAAGCAGTGATAAGTGAATTGTTTAAAAGTACTGTAACATTGGGGCGCCTGGGCGGCTTAGTCGGTTAAGCGTCCGACTTTCGCTTAGGTCATGATCTCGCAGTTTGTGGGTTCGAGCCCCGCGTCGGGCTCTGTGCTGACTGCCAGCTCAGAGCCTGGAGCCTGTTTCAGTCTGTGACTCCCTCTCTCTCTGACCCTCCCCTGCTCACGCTGTCTCTCTCTCTCTCCTAGAAATAAATAAAACATTTTAAAAAAAATTTAAAAAAAAAGTACTGTAACATTGATGAAAGACTAAATTATAAATGAATTAAAAATACAACTCAAAAGCAAAGAAAAAACTGAACAAAAGAGGGGGGATATGAGAAGTAATGATAAGACCACACATTAGGAAAATAAAATTAATGAAGAGTATTTTGATTATATGGGAAAAATAGACAAGCCACTAGCTAACTTAATCAAGAAAAGGGGCAAGGAAGTAAAAATATTAAAAAATTTTAAATGGTGAAAAATAAGTTAAAATAATTTTTAAGTTTAAGGATTATTTTGTAGAATCCTGCAAAGAAGCTTAGAAACCAAGATGAAATGGTAATGGCCTAGGAACACCTAATGTAGTAAAATGACTCCAGTAGAGGTAGAAAGTTTAAGCAGACTAATTTTCATCGAGGAAATGGAAAAGATTACTATGGAAACGACTTGAGGTCGGATGGTTTCACAGGATAATTCTACCAAACTTTCATAGTTAATCCCTTTGCTACATAACATATTCCAGGACACTGGAAAAGAAGAAACACTTCCAGATTATTTGTATGAAGCAATCCAACATTGATCCCTAGATTGCAAAATAAACCCCAATCCTTCACTTACCCCTGTATCCACAAACTTTGCAATGGGGTTGTGCTGTGCCCTCCCTCCCTGACTCTGGGCTCAGCCGTGCAAGTTTGGCCAATGGGATTTTCACAAGCAAGATGCAAGCATGGGCTTGAAAAGTCCTTAGGCAATTGAGATTTCTTTCATTGCACTCTCTGCCTTTATTACAAAAATTTTGTGTCTAATCTAGCCTGACCAAAGCCATCCTGGATCAGTCAAGGTAACTGACTCTCCCAGACATGTGAGTGGGTCCGGGTGAGACGGGAAATGCTGCCCAGGCAAGTCCAACCT